ATATCAATAAATAAGTGTTACGTGTTAAAAAAATTTAATATATGACACGTAAATCAATGGTATTAATTTCTATAAACGAAAAATTAATGTAGGAACTAATTTGAACAAAAATAAATGGTATATGAACTAGATTATTTTTTAATTATATGTAATAATGTAGCGTAACAAGTATAAGAGTTGGATGATGAAAATAAAAAAATATAATATAAAGGGTATTTATGTAAAATCAAAAATTAAATTCAAATTAATTTTGTTACAATTATGATAATTCAATTAAATTTGGTCAAATTCAGAATTCCGTATACAAAATTATTAGGGTTTTAATAAAAATAACTGTATAAAGTGTTGTTATTTTAAAAATTAAAAATGTAAAATTATTAAAAATAAGATAAAATAAAAATTGTATGTTTTATTAAAATAGTTGTGGATATTAAAATATTATAATATATACAAATTTAATTTAAAATATTTATGTATACAATAATACTAATGAATATATATATAAGTATATATATATATATAACAAAAGTAAAATGGGGTTGACAATTAGCTTCTTGTTGAAAGAAATCTATAGACCTAACTTTTTGATATCCAAATTCTTATATTATATATATATATATATATTCACTTTTTCAATGAATAAACCTCTTATACCTTTATTCCAATATTACATCTTTATGTTCATATTTATTTTCTATTAATATGTTTAATTTCATTTCTAATCATACTCTTTTTCTTAAATAAAAATGTATTTTCTTGTTAGTATTAATTAAGTATCATATGATAAAATTAAAGACGATGATTTTTAATTAAAATTTATTGGGACACCAAAAACAAAATATTCGTTCTTTAAATTTTTCGTATTCAAAAATTTTATTTAATATTGAACGTATATGGTTAATAATAAGAAATTCATATTGTAATTTTTCTTTTGTAATTTTATGTAGGTTTATATAACTTCTTAAATTTGTTATATATATATATATTAATAAACATGCTTTCTCAAAAAAGATCATGTATAAAATAGATAAAAAAATATTTTTTTAAGTGGAATGATGGTAAAAGATTAATATATGAATAGAGAGAAATTTGAAGGTAATACAAAAACAAAACTATATATATATATATATATCATAACATATGGGTTATGAATATTCTAGAAACTATATGATAAGACTAATAATTCAATATTCTTAATTTTCTTTATAAACCAATAGAATGATGCATTAAAATATATACATATATGTGGAATGATGGTAAAAGATTAATATATGAATATAGAGAAATTTGAAGATAATACAAAAAACAAAACTATATATATATATATATCATAACATATGGGTTATGAATATTCTAGAAACTATATGATAAGACTAATAATTCAATATTCTTAATTTTCTTTACAAACCAATAGA